CGGCAGCGGCACCATGAGCCGCGCGCACGCACTGCACAGCAGCGGCATCGTGTGCACGTACTGCGCGGCGGCGGCACCATGAGCCGCACGCACGCACCCGGCAACAGCAGCAAAGCGAGGCCCACACGATAGCTCATAGGGGTGGGCCCACCCTTATCTGGACACGTGAAGAGAACTCGTCGCCAGCCTACCTTATCCCTTATCCTCATCCCTTATCCTTATCCCTTATCTTATCTTATCTTATCCTTATCTTATTTTATCTTATTAAGTAAGAGTTACGAGTTTTAGTTTGAGTAGGAAATTAGGAGTTTTAGTTTGAGTTGGATTACCCTAGCCTAGCCGAATCCAACAAGGAATTCCCTTCTGTAATCTCCTATTTAAGGAGCTACGAATTGAAGTAAAGCATTCAGTTTTTCGCAGTCAAGAAAGAGAGTAAGGAGAGTTCGGGTGATCTCTTGGACAAATCACCCACTAGGAGAGTCCGGGTGATCTCTTGGACAAATCACCCACGCGATTGCCACCATAGGGTCTATACGCAAGGCCAAGGGCAAGGGAAGACAGGAGTCTCTCCCGGTGGACCGACCCGTGACTAGATCCTACGCGCGGGACCATAACAGAAACACCTCAAATCAAAGCCTAATCTGTCCTAAGATTGTTTTGTGATACATGTAAACAAATATCTTTCTCTCTCTCTCATGCTTTTTAAAATCGGACTGGATCAGACGGTCAGACCAGAAAAATCAGGAGTCAGTTAGGTGATTGATTCCGCTTTACCCCAGAATCGTTATTTTGTCAAAAACTATTGATTTAGTTAGCAAACCGCTGACCCGGGTGGTCGAACTGTTCAAACTGTCCAACGATTTTGGCCATTTTTTATTTTTTTTTAATTTTTTGTTAGAATGAACTTTTTATTTGCTTCAAATGGTCGTATCGTTCGATCCAAGAACCAAACCATTGACTAGTTCTTTGTCTAGTTAAATTTTAAAAACCTTGCTCTTTCTCTCTCTACGTGTACAAAATAGAGTTTCTTAGCTTCGCTTAAAAAAGTTAAACAACATCAATGATATATATTGTTATGTGACTCTTCTGAATCGATTTAATAGGATGCACGGACTGAATCAATAAAAGAAGGTGTCAAGGCGTTTGCACACGGAGTGACTATTGGGAATGTCGTTGGAACTGCTGTGGTGGCTGGTTGCAGCATAATGTGATAATTGTTTGATAAGCATCCATCCATGTTAATTTTTTAGCTTTTTTAGTCAATGATATGTATGAGCTCTCTTTCTCTCTCTTTCATATTGCTCAAGTTTCGATAGCACTCTGTATTATGTAATCGACAGTTCTAGCGAACTGATTTCAACTTATGCAATGCAGCATTAGAACAAAATTACTAAGGAAATTAGGCTGAATTTTCTGTATAAGCAAATTTTCAAAATTAAATATGTTTGTTCTGCCTCTTAATTTCTTTTATTTTTTAATCCTTAATTTTACTCCATGCGAGACCTCCTGATTTCATTCTATGTGTGCTAAAAATGCATATTTTGTAGACCAAAAGTCAGGGGATGATGATACACACACAATCTTAGGCGCCATTTGAGATGCATAAAGCAAGGACAAAATATTTGGTAGTACAAAAGTTTAATCACATATCTCATATTCTTTAATTTGCATGTCAATGAAGTAAAATGAATATCATACTTCTATGACATTATATCCAACTATTATGTATATGGATTGGAAGCACTGTTTTAGAAAATAGTGTCTTTTTTCTATTTGGAAGCGTTGCTATCAGGTAAGATGTTTCTTAGAGCAATAGCAACACTTTTTGTTTGGTACTAGTGCTCCATGTCTATTTTCAGCACTGGTACGCATTATAAGAAGTCCATGTCACTGCCACATCACGTCCTTATTGGCAGCAACGAGCTGCAATCTAAGAAAACGTCAAACTCGGCGTTGCTCCAAACCATGCTTCATTGATTTCCAAGTCGTGTCTTAGAGTACTATTTTTTATGGAAAAATGATTCAAAACAAACAGGCATTTCTTGGAGCACCGTTTTTTTCTGACATGGTGCTGATGTGCCACTGTTTTCTGGAACAACGACATTGATGCCAACCAAATGCTATAGTGAAAAGGCATTATTAGGGAAATGAATCCCTATGTCTTTCTTGTGCAGATCAAGAAGAACAACAAGCAAATATAAAATATAAAATAATAGAAGCACATAAACAAATACAAAGCAAACAATAAGTGATAGACCAATATTTATGTGGATAAAAACAACAAGACCAAAGTCGAAATATCTTCCACTATCAACTCAGTAAGTGATAAACATTAAAGTTGTATTTGGTTGCAATGCAAATAAATTTGCACAGGTGCAAAACTATGACAGTGCAAATGGTTTTATTGCAATAAAAATGAAGTAAATTAAGTCATGAAGTAGAATAAAGTAAAATCCAAAACAAAATTAAATGGGAATTTGCATTTTCTTCATTTTCACTCCCATGCATTTATACTAGTACAAATAAAATTGCATTGCAACCAAACACAGCCCAAGGCTCAGTTTGAAGGAGTAAAAATACACATATATACAGTATAAATACATACAAAAACAAAATGTAAGGTTTTACACTCTACATATTTGTATTTGTACTCCTTCCAAATTGAGCCTAAGGGAAAAAGCATTGGATAGAACCAAACAACATTAACAAAGGTGAATAACAAATAGGAAATTTCTCAATAAGAGTGGATGCACGATAAGAAGCAAAAAGAAATGCTATAAAATTGTTCCTGACCCTTGGCAATGAAGCCTTCTAGCTATTATATATGGATATCTTCAATAAGATCTCCATTCAAAAACACAGTTTTGACATCCATTTGCCAAATCTCATAGTCATAGTGTGTAGTTATAGCCAATAGTATCCTAATGGATTTTATCAGTTCCACAGGCAAAAAGGTCTCATCATAGTTGACTCATTCTTCCTAAGTGTAACTCTTTGCCACAAGTCGAGCTTTATAAGTCTCGACCTTTCCATCGAGGTCTATATTCCTCTTGTAGATCTACTTGCAACCAATGGCAAGTGAATAGACATGCTCGAAGGAAGTGTTTAAGCAAATAGTTTTTAACCCGAGGATAACAATTTAGCTTTTCACCCTTCAAAACTTTCTTCTAATATTGTCAATTAATGGATCAAAATCTTTAATTCTCAGACATTTACTGCTAATAGGCCCAATAGGGGCCTCCTGTAGGTTCTAGGGTACATAAAAGGGATTTATTTATTTATTTTCCTTTTTTCACAATCATCTCGACTCCTTGTGGAGGGGTTTTCACTAATTCAATCAAACTTTCACTAAAACCAAATTTTCAAAGAAGTAGTCAAGGAAATTTCAACTGAGACCATCACAAGCTTTAACTATATCAAGCTTAAAACTAGAAATTCCAGAACATGTATTTGGTTATGATTTCAGTTTAAAAAAAAAAAAACCATACACAATCAAGAACATGTGTTTTTATACTTTTATTTTGACAAATAATCTAGTTTCAAATTAATGTTGTACTTGGTATCATTGTCACTTCTATTTGCAATGGTTTTGTTTGGTCAATGCAAATTTTATGAAAATATATTTTTTTCTTCAACAAATGCTTCGATTTATCAATACAACATTTGGTATCTTTGTTGTTTCTTCAGAAAATGTCAATTTTGATGTTTCAACTATAAATGCCAATACCCAATCCAATGCCTATATTTTATTATGAAGTAATTATATGGTGTGATGTGATAAGATWATTTTTCAAAAATTTGTGTTGGCCAACCTAAAACTTTACAAAGAGAAAAGGCAATGGTACCAAACACAACCTAAATAATTTTGATTTATTTAATTTTTCTAACAAAAAGAAAACACAAATACAAACAGACTAAGGTCAATACCAGTCTCCCAATCTGCAATCTCCTGAATCCAATTAGGAACCGGGGACCTAAAGAAACACCTAGCTCATTAAATTTCTTTCAACAACAATAAGGTTGTGTTTGGTTTAAAGGAAAAAGTAGGGAAAAGAAGGGAAATGTAAGGAAACCTTTGCAAATCTTGTATATGTTTCCCTATATTTCTCTTCCTTTCCCTACCTTTTCCTTCAAACCAAACATAGCCTAAGAGAAACACATAACAAGTTTGCCAAGTCTAAAGTATCTATAAACAACAGGTAAGCATCCAAAGATTTTTCCTCTTCACCCTCCTTGATTACCTGGATAAGAACATAGCAGTCTCCTTCACGAGTAACTAGAATCCAACACCTTTGCTTTATCAAGCTGTCGTGTTTGGTTTGGCAGAAAATAATAAAAAAAAAATTGATGTAGCGCGATCCGGTCACTCCTAGCTGGCAGGGGCTTCGCTCCTAGCTGGCAATGGACAGCACCTGAGAAGGAGAAGAAAATGAAGGATTCCCAGGGAGCTCACCCGGTGGGAAAACTCCGATGCTTAAGTTAGAACTCTGAGAGAACTGTAGAAAATGCTGAGAGAGCTAAGAGTGCAGATAGCGCAAGATCAATTCCCTCTACCCCTTGGGAATCGGGGCCTTTAAATACTGACGTCTTGTCAAATCGGGCGTAACCACCTCTGGCCCTCTGTCACAGCCATTATTCACCAGGGCTGCGCAGGTAACCGTTGCAGGGTACTACCCAATCAAATGAGAGATGCAACCCGAAAAGGACAGACACAACGCCACCTGCCAAGAGACGTGGGCGCAGTCTGCTGGGCTGGCAGAGACTGCACCGTCAGTCAGGAGACCTGGGTGTAGTCCGACGGGTACGGTCTTGTCAGATAAGAAGCTTCCTGAAAACGCTGCGTCGCTTAATAGCAAGCTGCCTTGCAGCAAACTATCCCATAGCGAGCTGCCTTGTAGCAAGCTACTGGAGGCGTCCCGAGGTGATTCCACCTGAGGTCTTTGAGACGGCCCCTTTTGCCTAAGGATTGGAGCGAGCTAATTATCCTGTCTCGTGAACTGGGATAGGCTTATCTTGGAGTGTTCCCTTTCAGCACATTGGCTTACTCGAGCTCGCACTGTAGCGAGCTTGTTCCGTAGCGAGCTGTAATGTAGTGAGCTGACCCGCGTGGGGCTTCAGCGAGCTCGTTGCGCCAAGTAGGCAGGCTGTCACGCTGCACTATCACTTATGTCAAGTCATGTCCATGTGTCGCCTACTCAGGAGGTCGGCTCAAATCACCCTCCATCAATTGCCCCCCACTCCTCGGGCTAAGCATCTTGTTCTAGCGCGGGGAGTTCATGAAGTGACGGGTGGATTTGACCCGTAATTCAAACTGGGTTGACCGACCGCATTAAATATACGTGCGGATGTTAGGCGATTTCTGGATTTTTTGGGCGCCAAAAAGCGCGCCAAGCTGCCTTCAGTTTTGGAAGACGTGCAGATGGCATTACTTCAGTCCTGGAAGACATGCAGCCAGATTGATTGTGAGCCGTCAAATTTGCCTTAATCTGAGCCGTTGGCTTTCGGGCATTGTGGCTATAGATAGGCGGGCCCCAGTCCTCATTTCTTTTACGCCAACTTGCCTTGCTTTCGGATTTGAGGTCCCGCCTTTGCGTAGTTTGCTCGAGCTCTCTCCTGTTCACACCGTCCTTCCGGTTTAGTTTTTTCCTGGTGAGTCCTTTGTTCCATCAACAATGTCTGGGTACCCCCACGACAGTGTTTTCCCCCGGGGCAGTAACCAAGACGAAGTCCCCTCAAACTCAGGGGGAGCTTGAGGGCTCCCTGAGGGTCAGTCTATGGAGGCTCGAGAAGCCTCTAGGAATCTGGCATCTATTTCCTAAGGGCGGGAACCGGATAGCTTCGGCCCTTCCTCCATGACGATGGAAAGGCTTCAGGCTCTAGTCTCTTACTTCCACCTCCCTGGGGATCTTATCCACAGTCTTCCCTCCGACGACTATCCCTGGGAGCATGATCACGATGAAATCATGGTCTTTGAGGAACAGCTTGTGGCTGGCCTCCGGCTCCCTCTTCATCCTTTGATAGTGGAAATTCTTTCCCACTTTAATATCGCTATAGACCAGCTTCACCCCAACGCAATCCGAAACGTGGTTGGGACAATTTCTTTGTATTTCGAGTACTGTCTTCCCCTTTCTCTGGATATTTTTGCTTCCATTCTATCCATCAAGAATGCCACCCCCGGAGCTCTTCCAGAGAGGCGCTCTTACTACTTCTCTCCCTGCCCAAGCTTTAAGCTCCTTCATGAGCTGCCCAATAGGATCCCAGCTTGG